GGTGGGTAATGACAGCCTTCAGGACTCTTTAAACTATACCTTGTTTTCTTATCATAATTGTTAAGCCTCAGGCAAAAGTGAAAACTAAAATCTGAAAAAAAGTTCAGAATCATCAGTAACTGAGTAAGAAATATTTTGACTTCCACCGGCTCTACAACAGTTCCTTCTGTTACTCTCCTTTTGGCCATGAAATTGTATACCGTGATTTTTCAACCCTGGCACTATTGATATTTGGGGTCAGATCATTCTTTGTTGTGAGGGACTGTCCTGTGCATTGCAGGAGGTTTAGCAACCTTTCTGGCCTTTACCCACTAGATACCATTAGCACACCCCTCCCCAGCTGTGACAACCAAAAATGACTCCAGACCTTGCTAAGTGTCCCTTGTGATGCAAAATCACCCAGTTGAGAACCACTGATCTACTGTAGCTGATCTTGTATTTAGGACCAATATGTGCAGAGAATCTCACGGAGGCAATGGCAGATCAAGCAATTTTTTTAAAAATAGCCATTGTAAGCCCATTTAAGAAGGCTGCTATAGTACCCAGTTTCAGTAAACCTATATTTCCAACCCTTGAGTTAGGGAAATTAATTTAGAATATTTATAAAACATTTGTAAAATAAAAATATAAGAAATAATAATTACGATAATAATAATTGCATTTATTCTGTGTTGGGAATTTTCCTAAATATGTTAAATATGCCTGCTTGTTTAATCCTCACAACGCACTTGTGATATAGGTATATTTTATACCCATTTTACAGATGAGAAAACTGAGATACAAGAAGATTAAGACTTCTTCTTCTTATAGATTCTCTTTGTCACAGCAAGCCTTCAAGGTACACGTGATAACAACCATTTTATAGATGAATAACTTGAAACAGAGATTAAGAAACCTAACAAGAGTCCCACAGTATTAAAGTGTGAAGTGATATTCAGTGTGCATTAATATGGTTATACCCACATATATGATATAAATTAGAATTGATATCTCCTATCAAAGCTGTTAGTGTATGGGATATGGATCCCTCAAGAAGAATTTAGTTATCTTTTTGTAAATATAGAAAAATTAGATTTTATAATTTGTTATAGAATATTATAGTTATGTCTAAGCTTAGAAATTTCAACTTTCAAAAAAAATTTTCAACTTTCTTCCTCTTTCTCTTTCTTGTCTAACCCCACATTTTTTCCAGCAAAGATTTAGGTAAGGCCGCTAAACAGATGTACAAAGCTAACTAAACACAATAAAACACAGTATAGGAACATAAAATGGATTCAGAAAGGACGAGAAGACACTTACTAAGGGATCTATACACTGCTATGGCAAGGCTATAAATGAGTTCCCAGGGCCCATTAAATAAAGAAACAGATCCATTACTCAGAAGAAGCAGCACCGTTCTTGGTACTAAGATCAGACAGGGATCCCTCCTGTTGCGCCTGACAAAGTTCCACTGTACATAGTGTTTGAACAGCATCCTCGATAGCATTCAAACAATAAATCTAGTGACAAGTTTCATAAGACCGGGTGGGTTGTAAGCCCAATTCGGGGAAAGCATGATTTTCAACTGAGTTGTCTTTTTTATGCTGATTTTAATTTGGTTCTCTCATGAACACATCTAAAGTCATCGAATTATCAAATTATACAAGAATTTCATACGTTATCCTGACCTTGCTTTTTTCTGATTCTTTGGGATCTCCTCTAATCTCTATTTGACATGCGCTTTATAAGCCTTTAGACAAATTCACTTATTTTTGAATAAACATTCTTTTTAGAGTTTTGAAAACTCCTGATTGTGTCTGTTCTCTTGAAACCACTGCATTGAGCCATCACAGAGCCACTGCGGTCGGTCTGTGCTACTAACTTAATAGGGATTTATGTAACTTTATTTCCCCAGCCTGCTCAGTTGCTTATATTCTGTAAGGCTCAGGGCACTTTATAAATTAATAATTTTTAAAAAGCCTACAATAATAGTTGCAAAACCAGCAAAACCCACAGTGGGCAGATTTCAATTTCTGTTCCAAATTGCTAGCACAGGTCTATTAGCAACTAGGACAATGGCGAGGATTATAATGGTTTTTCTTGCACTCCATCTTTACAAGAAGATTCAGGAGGGCAGGTCCAGGTAAAAATAGCTGAAACTTCTAGTTCTTGTTGTAATCCAGGAAGTACTGATATTTGTTATTATTATTAATATTATTATTATCATTATCATTACAAATGGTGAAAGTAGGGATGCATAAATAAAGTCTGCCCTCGGGGCAGCCTGGAGCTATATTCCAGCAAGTTATTGTGCTTCAGTATTATGAGAATTTTTATCCATCATCAATAAAAAATGAGCACAGCAGTTATTATGGCAGTTTCCACAGTCAAGTCCGTTTCTGCTCTTACATCTCTTAGTAAAAGGGTGATACACTCTCCATTATACGATGTCAACTCATCCACCTTTTCGACATTAAAGTATAATGTACAATCCTTACATGAATTCTTCCCTAGTGAAGTCACATTTCCACGAACTTGGGACAAGGACACAATAGGGCTAAATTAACTGTGGGCAGAAAGTAAAGTAAATTACATTTTTTATAAGCCAATAGCAGCACTGAGCTGCCCCCATTCCTTTATCAGAAAGGGATGAAGTTGAAATAAATTTGATAAAATAAATATTTTAGAGAGCAGCCTTGTGCTCACCAGTGGTGGAATTATGCCAGGCCAATGCCCTTGATGCTCCACTGGGCACACTCTCTGCAACCACAAAAGAAGCAGATACTTCTCTGCCCCCAAGCTCTCCAGCACCATGGATGTGAATGAGCAGTCCAAGCAAAGTGTCTGGCTGCTGCAGCCATCTTTCCAGCAGCATGGCAGTTAGGGGTGGGTTCTCAGAAAACCAAAGTCCCCATCTTGATATGCTGATTTTTTTCTTCCCTTAAGCTCTTTTTATCTTATTTTGTCCTTTAAAAAAAAAAAAAAACCTAACTACTCTTGCTTATGGTCATTAAAGGGCTATGGAAGTTTCATGGGAAGCTCACTAAAGAGTATATGTAGGGAAGTTCGAGAAGCTGAAGATTTGGAACAGAACATCCCAGTTCAAGTCCAGCCTCTACCTCTCCTTAGATGTGTTACTTTGGGAAAATGTCTTTCTCACTTTTTTTTATAGTCTTTTTTTTTTTTTTTTGAGGAAGATTAGCCCTGAGCTAACATCTGCTGCCAATCCTCCTCTTTTTGCTGAGGAAGACTGGCCCTGAGCTAACATTCGTGTCCATCTTCCTCTACTTTATATGTGGGACACCTACCACAGAATGGCTTGACAAGCGGTGCCATGTCTGCACCCAGGATCGAAAGTGATAAACCCTGGGCCACCAAAACAGAATGTGCAAACTTAACCACTGCACCACCGGGCCAGCCCCATCCCACTTTTTTTTTTTTCCAAAGATTTTATTGTTTTCCTTTTTCTCCCCAAAGCCCTCCAAGTACATAGTTGTATATTCTTTGTTGTGGGTCCTTCTAGTTGTGGCATGTGGGACGCTGCCTCAGCGTGGTTTGATGAGCTGTGCCATGTCCACGCCCAGGATTCGAACCAATGAAACACTGGGCCACCTGCAGCAGAGTGTGCGAACTTAACCACTCGGCCACGGGGCCAGCCCCCCATCCCACTTTTTAATATATAGTTTTAAGGGTATATGACCAGCTCAAAATGATTCCACTTCTCTGGGAAGCCATGTTTGCCTTCTCTGCATACTCCTTAGCCATAGTTGATTGGATTTTCTTCCCCAGCAGTCTTGATAAAAGATAAGCTGTGACTGGTGCAGCCACTGTGGAAAACAGTGTGGAGATTTCTGAAAAAATTAAAAATAGAAATATTATATGACCCAGCTGTCCCACTACTGGGTATTTACCCAAAGAACTTGAAATCAACAATTCAAAGAGACTTGTGCACCCCTATGTTCATTGCAGCATTATTCACAATAGCCAAGATGTGGAAGCAACCCAAGTGCCCATCAATTGATGAATGGATAAAGAAGATGTGGTGTATACATGCAAACAATGGAATACTACTCAGCCATAAAAAAGACAAAATCGCCCCATTTTCAACCACATGGATGGGCCTTGAGGGCATCATGTTAAGCGAAATAAGCCAAACACTGTATGATTTCTCTCATATGTGAAATATAAACAAGCTTGTGGACAAAGAGAACAAATTCGTGGTTATGGGGGGAAGGGGGGTGGACAGTGTGCCCAAGGGGTGAAGAGGCATACCATACTTATATGGTGTATGAAAAATAATAACGTATAACTGAAATTTCACTACATTATAAGCTATTATGACCACAGTAAAAAAAAAAAAAAAAAAGATAAACTGTGGAAAACTTCTTTCTGCCACGTAGACAAAGGAGCAGATAAAGCTAACTTGCAGGTGGAAAATAATTTGGTAGAAAGAAAGAGAAGCACAAATACAGGAAAGAGAAACTGAATGTTAATGTACCCTTAAGCCATCCGAGGGAAGCGGGGAGAGTGGTCTTGGCAGCATTCCCATCCCGCAGCCTCCATTTAGATCCCACCTGACATTTGGCTGCACATCTACCTTCTGGTTCTGTGAGACACCCTATGTCTTAGTGCTGGAGTTCTTTCTATTGTTTTTCTAGAATTTGTGGGTCTTTGTTACCTGCAACCACAAGAGTTCTAAGGCATTCTTGGTTTTTCTTTTCTACCATGGGACTAAGAATTCCTGACCCAGTATTACTGTGGGCTTGTTGTGAGGGGAAAGTGAGTTGATGGACAATGACATTCTTTCTTGTTGGTCATTTACAAGCTTATTCAAACGTTTACTGGACCTCCACTATGTGGCTTATGCTGCTGTAGACGTGAGAACAGAGCACTGTGCAAAAAGAAAACACACAAAACAAAACAAAACATTACCAAATGGAATTTATATTCTGGGGAAGGGAAACAGAAAGTAAAATCTTAAAAAGGAAGTAAATATATTGTATGGCAGATAATAAAAGGAAGTTAAAAAAGTAGTGTAAAGGTGACAGGGAGTGATGGAGCTGAGGGGGTTGTTGTTTTAGGTAGATTGGTTAGAGAAAGCCTCAATAATGCAATAAACCTGAAACCTGAAGGGAATTAGGGAATGAGATAGGGGGACATCTGGAGAACACTGCTCCCGCAGAGGGAAGGGAAATGCAAAAGCCCTGAGGAAGGAGTAGACGTCTTGTGTTTGAGAACCAGAAAGAAGACCAGAGAGACACGGTAGAAAATGAGTTCCTGTAGTGGCTGGTGTGCTATGGTAAGGACTTCTAATTTTACTCTGGGTGAGATGGGAAGCCATTAGAGGCTTTTGAGTAGAGACATGGCATGATTTGACATCCATTTTAGAAGGATTATTCGGACTCTGTGTTAAGAATAGACATAGAGGGGAAAAGTGAAGCAAGGAAACCTGCTCAGAAGCCACTGCAGTGGTCCCAGTGAAAGATTTTGGCAGCTATAGAAAGATAAAGAAGCGCCAGATTCTGATTTAATTTGAAGATGGAAGCTATAGGGTTTGCCGATGGTTTAGAGATGGGTTTGAGACAACACGGGGGTAAAGAAAGAGTAAGAATGTTGGCCAAATAGAAAGATGGAGGTGTTCTTGATGAAATGGGGAAGATTACAGGAGCAGAAGTTAATTGATTGGGGAAAATTAAGAGTTTAATTTTGGATATGGTAAATTTCAAACAACTGTTAGATATCCAAGTAGAAAAGTCAAGTAAGAATTTGGACATGAGTTTGGAGGTTGGGAGAGAGCTCTAGCCTGGAGATCTAGTTTATATTCCTGCCTCCCCACACCCCCCCAATCTTCTTTTCACCTCCAGATGAGCATCCCACTTGGACTTGCTAGAAAATTGATATTTTCAGTGGGATTAAGAACTAAGGAGATTACAGATGGCATGATACTTTAAGATCAAACTGTTTGGAAGGGAAGCAAGAGAATTTTTTAAAGCCCCGATTCACTTTCTTAGCTTTCTGTAATTAATTTGGGTCAACATATCTTTTATCTTTGAGCAAAATACTATCAGTAGCAAAACATCATATACCTATAAATATATTTATTGGAAACACTCGAGACTTCTGAGTCAGGAGACAAATGTAGAGATCACTGTGCTAATAATTAACAAATTATTCTTTGATGCACAAATTGTTGGATGAGAGTATCAGTCATTGAACATTTATTAAGCACTGATTTTGCACCGCTGACAACAGCCCAACAGGGCTAGGACTAGTAAAACTCAGTCCCTGCCTTCAAGGGGCTTAACACAGAGAGCCTGAAATCTGGCATATTCCCAAGGTCAGCTCACAGCAAATGGTATGTTTGCGAAATCTGTCTTTAGTTCTCTTCTACCACCATATTTAAAAGTTAACTTATCCTACAGCACATCCACTTTTGAAACCAATCCATAAACAAGAGAGATGGTGTAGCAGGGCATAGCCTGAAAATGTATGGAACTGAGAACCATGAAGACAGCGCAGTTTGGTGTAAAGAGCACCAGAAGGGAGCCAACTTCTTAATCCTACTTAGCATGTCACTTATCGACTGTGTTATATATGATAAATTTATTTATATGGAACAATTCAATGCCTCATTGATGCAAGAGAACAATTATCCTGCACCAAAGACTTCAGAAATTTCTATTTCTGATCCTTCAAACCTTCATTGTTTTACATAATTTTGTTTTTTAATCCTTATTTTAGTGGCGTTGACTTACCCAACTCCAAAATATTTTAATGTGTAATTATCACATGTGGCACTGATGAGTCCAGTAAACATTAATTGGGCACCTACTGTGCTACCCGCTGGTGACAAAGAATGAGACACAGCTCTTCTTTTCAAGCAGGGAGGAGAACTCTCATAAACATAAATCCTTACAAAAATTGCAAAGGTGGATGTTTGCATGAGACACTATGAGAGCCCAGAAAAAGGCATGGATCAACCTAAGAGGGTCAGAGAAGGCTTGTTAGGGAGTCTTAGAGAATAAGTGGGAGTTCACCACTAAACCATAAGGAGGTCATGGGTAGGAAGAAAGATCATTCCTGTTAGATGGAGCAATAAGAAACAACAATGAGTCAGCTGCATGAGATTAAGTGTTAGAATATAAATTTCAAGATAGGGAATCATGAGAGTTGCAACAGAAGAGATGAGTTAGACTCAGATCATGGGGGGATCTGAACTCTGAACTTAATTATGCTCTTGCTGGGGAGCCATTCTTCCCTAAGCCAACTCAAATCCTTCTTTTTTTAAAGTGTGGGCAGAGTACTTTGAACAACTAAGAACTAAATAAATGACTTTATACAAGTGCAGAGGTTTCTTCTTTTATGTTTTGCTGATGCCTGGGGAGAAATGATGCAAGAAATAAATATTACGGAAATTAATTAATTAGGGTATTACTTGTAGTATTTAAAAGTCATCAGAAATAATGATACATGCTGGAAGCATCTTTTAAATGATTATTAGAGATTATAATCAGAAAGCATAAATATTAAGTCAATGACCTCTGGGGTCCCTTATAACTATTGTAAAATTCCATAATTATGACCTTGCTTTTTTTCTCATGTCTGAGGAGTTGCCAGAGGGGAAGTATCTCTAAAGAAGGAATTAAGAACTCAGGCTCAGCTTGTGTTGCAACATCTCTGCTCTTAGAGTTCACTTCATAGGAAACAATGAGGATATTTACCAAGGGTTTCTCGGAAATGATTTCAAATTTCCAGAAAGTACATTATAGAAACTCAGGAGATTAGCCAGACAGAAGCTTATGAGAAACATGCAAATGATGTGAAAAATATGAATTTAAGTAATACAACAAGCTGTATATATATATATGGAAAGATATAAACCATACCTCATTAGTGCTTTTTATGATGTGTGTCTGATTCTATGACTAAAAATATATCTGGTAATACACACAGTTTGATCTGGTACATTTTCATTTAAAAAATCATTCCCCAAATCCTATAATTACTGAGATTGCTGACCAGTGCTATTTGAAAACTCTTTGTAGTCCAGGTTACTTATCATCATGTCGGATAAAAATAGGCAAATGACATCTGCTCCCTTTTAAGAAATAGAGTTCCTGGCTTCATCTAACCTAATTAGCTGGTTAGAGTAGCCATCCATAAAAACAGAAGCTAGCACTTCAGGACCCATTAGCATCGCCCCATGAAGCTGCTCTCCTTAGCTGGCTGATTGCTCTCTTTCCAAGCCTAAGGATCTTGCCCCTAATATGTGGTAGATCCCATTCAAGTTTCCTCTTACCTTTAATTCTGTAACTGGTTAGCGTACGTTGCTAATGATGTTAAATAATGAGATTTTTTGTTATTGTTGTTGTTCTTTGAGTTCATACCTTGATTTAGTTAATTCCATCAAAGTTATGATGACAATCAATTGTAGTTTATATTTATATGTTCTCTTTTTGAAAGCACATTCTAACTTTTTTTAAAAAAAATTGAATACAATTTTAAACACAAAATTTTTTAAAACATTTTAAATTTAAACATTTAAAATTTTTAAACATTTGTTTCATAGAACACCAATTCTCAAAAGAATATTCTTTGAAAAGCAAAGGAGAGGAGGCTCCTTGAGTTGACCTTTTCAAGGTCAGCACTTGAAATGTTGCATGGATGACTCATCAAGAAGACTTCCAACCATTAGCACATTAAAGGTTCTGAGTCTTCTGGCAGTAAACAAACCTGTTTCCCTTCACTTAACCAGAATTATCAAGCTTATCTGATCAAAGAAGGTTTGGTTTTTTTCTTATAAAATATGTTACTATTTCACGGAATTTCACAATTTTGGAAATAAGAGATATTAAATCAGAATTTTGGAGTCCACAGCATTCAAAATTTATCCATTTTATATATCTACACATATCCCACTTGACAAATAATTTGAGGGTCATAGATACCATTCTAAGGTTAGCTTGCTCCAGTTACAGAACTGTAAATGGCAATATGATTTCCTTATTTCCATTCCAAATCATGTCATTGTTACCAAAGAATTTTGGTTAGTTACCTGAAGATACTCTCCACTACTTTATCTGGAGGCATAACATACTTGCTACTAGATTGAAGTAGGAGCATATTTATAATTTTTCATCTAAGAACAAACACATTTCCAAACACATGCAAAATGGAGCAGAGTTTACATTTTTACCACATGCACAGTTCCAAAATCATAGCAATATGAGGTAAAATATAATATTAAGCATTATAAAGATCATAATGGGGCTCGCCAAGATAAACCCTTATAGATAGGAGAAATAGAATAGAAAAGCAAAATGGTAAGCAACACTGAATCCATGAATCCAGATTTAGGTTGTAGCAGCTACTGATGGGAAATTAAGAGAGTTCTAGATGATACTAGGAACAAAGTAGGATCATTACCTGAAAACAGGGACTGGAGTGGAGTTCTCCTGCTCCAGAATAATACAGCTGGGGAAAAACAAAACAAGACAACTACTGCTGACTTGCTACCTGGATCTATGGCATTATAGGGATGAGGCAAGGCAATGACACAATCTCAAATGAAAGAATAATTCCTATTTACCAAGAGCAAGAATCTATAAAACATAAACACATATAAATGAAACAATCCAAGAGGAGATGAAACAGACTGAGCCACAGACTTTGGAAAGAAAAAATAGAGTCATTGAAATTAAAGAATAAAACAAAACTCATTAGGTGAAACATTTCTAAAGATGGAGTAGCACTGTACAAAAAGAGAGAGTTAAAGAATTAGATGATTATACCAAGGAATTCACAAAGAATACATCACAAAGAGCAAAATAAGCTTCAAAAGGACAAGGAAAAGCAGCTAAGAAATATGGATGACTGATTTGAGAGTCTCCAGAATAAGAGAATAGAGGGAATGGTGAAGAAACAATATCTGAACAGACATAACTGTGAATTTTCTAAAAGTGAAGAAAAACAAAAATGCTCATAGCAAATTGTTGAATTCTGAGATGTGCAAGATAAACATAAAGCTAGAACGAAAACACTGAAGATATTAAAAATAACCCTAAAAGCTGGAGACAAAACATTATCTGCAGAAAAGTGGCAAACTGTCAGGAGATTTCTCTTTAACAATAAGAGACCCCAGAAGATAATGAAGTTATATACTTAAGGTGCTGAGGACAATACCTGTGACCTAGAATTTTATACCCAGTTAAACTAGAAGAGTGAAAGCAAAATGAACACACTTTCAAATACACAAACACTAAGACTATTAACTACCACAGATACTCGGCTAAAAAAAAA